GTCCAACCCTAATGCCAATTTAATATGAAACCCACTAGTGTCTTCATCCAATGGTGTAAAGTGTGACACTTGTCAAAATCTGGCCAGCCATTTAAATGAGAAGAAAAACGTGTTCAGCAGCTCCCTTTTTGGCAAAATGAAAACAGCACTCACTTGTTAATCTTGGAGGACCCGGCCACTAAAACAGTAGATTAATTCCAGCAGCCCATCATTGTGCCATTTTCTCTACAAATACAGCCTGTGTACCTATGAGAGCTTGACACGTGACAACACCAAAGCTTTACCGTTCCGGGTTGAAGGCCTTTAAATAAATTTGGGGTTCTTAGAGGGTGGGGTTAAAAGTCCAAATGGCCTATTTTGTATAATATTTTTATTGACCACTTAAGTTATATATTAAAAAAAAAAAAAAAAAATCGGACGATTACCAAACTTATCAAATCGTAATCCCATTGACCATCAAACTTCAAAAATTGCTCAGATGGTCTCAAACTTATCAAATTGTCATCTTATCCATCATTCAATAACTCGCCGAACAAAAAAAAAACAAAAAAAAAAGGAAAAAATTGAGGGACTGGATGACATGACAAGAGAAAATGCTAACATGACACATCATTGATGTAAATAACTCGGAAATGCTCTTTCATATATTAAGAGAGCTTACAAAAAAAGCAATTGAGTTTTAACATTTTCTTGTTTTCTTTTATTTATCTCTATTTTTATTTTTTATTAATTTTTTTATAAGTGTGTCTTTTACTGATTCATTGTCAAATAAGTATAATATTGAATGATGGACAAAATAATGATTTGATAAGTCTGGAGATCATTCGAATTTTTTTAAAGTGTAATGATCAATGGGATAACAATTTTACAAGTTTGGTGACTATTCGAAAAAATTTAAAAGTTTAATGATCAATGGAATAATTATTTGATCAATGTTTTGAAAACTGGCCAGAACATCGATTCAAGAGAAGTTAAGGGTCAAAAGGTCGAACCAGAATCCAAATGCAATAAATAAATATACACAAATAAGAAAAATTGAGGTGAAATGACAAAAATAAATCAAATATTGAAATTTAAGAATTAATTTTTTTTCACTTTAAATTTTTCAAATAAAAATAGCTCATTATTTTTAAAGTAACTCATTATAATATTGAAAGCAATCCCACATTGGAAAGTAAAGCAATTGAAAGCAATTATAAAAAGTGGCTGGCATCCCTTCTCATAGCCGTTTGATGGGCTTATTTAGTTATTCACTTATTCGGCCCAAGGATTATCAGTTCTTTTTAATGGAAAAACACAAGTAAATCGGTCAAATCAGTGGCAGGTCAACCAATTTTGCAGTTGGACCTCATTATTATTCGATTTTTGATTTTTTTTTTTCCAGTTTTTAATTCTAGTGGTTTTTGGTCATAACCGAGCTGGTTGGATGACCGGTTCCTGCTTTTTCGGTTGAATCAGTCAATTCGGTTTGATTTTGACAATATTGAGTTTCATAAATTTAATGACCATCCGATTTTATTTTTTTTTTAAATTCAATGACCATTTAAAAATATTGTACAAAGTTCAATGGTCATTCGAAGTGTTTTTTTTACCAATCCACAGCGAAAATCCTTGCTGCTCTTTTTTTTCTTCTTTTGTGCGTTGGAATACATTGGTCGTACTATTGGCTCTTGATTGATTGGCAGGTTTTTTGATTTTATTATCACCAAATTTATAAAGAACCCCACCACTAAAATGACTCGTAAAAGTTCCTATAGTCAAGCAAAATATTAACTTGGTTTGGGCCGCATAGTAACTAAGAGAGCCATTACATTTAGAGCTAGACGAAATGGGCCAACACGGGCGATATGGTGTATGAGCAGATTTGTCAAATGCCAAATGCTTCTTAGATTATTATTAGCCTCCTAACTAGGAATGGCATGTGATGGAATAGAAAGAAGTTGAAACATTAGTGCTATAGAGTCGGGGTTATTGGTAAGCTTGTGAAGAAGCAAGATATCCTCAACATGTTCGACAAATGCTGGCAATATCATCTCAAGGTCTACATCTTGTTTAGAAACTCGTCGAATATATTGAGCAAAATAACTCCAGGGAGACATGGACACAAATGAAAAGATGTATCGTCATCTCAAGAACGTATATTAATTCAGTGAAAATAACTTGAAAACTAGATAACAATGAACTTGAATTTGTAATAGTCACAAACAAAAGATAACTTATTAAGCATATTACAAACAACTACTCTTCATCATTCTTAATGCATAGTGGGCAAATTATAGTGACAATATCTATCGCAAATGCCACCAAAATAAACTAAGCTAGCATGGAGACCGGACCCACAACTAACTTGACACCTAGCACAAAGATCGAACGAAAAATATTGGTAATCAACTAAAGTTCGAAGTACAAATAAGTCAATAAATTATTTGAGTTACAAGTCTCGATCGACTAAATGCTATTACTCGAACCTTGCCATGAGAGTGTGCAAAAGGCATATCCGCGAAAATCTTATCTCAAGCATCTATCTTGCATATAGAAAATGAAGTCTTTCCGATTTTGATTGAGAGCAACCCCAATTAGTCAAGGAACAACAACCAATTACGAACACTACAATGACTACAAATACAACCATCATAAGTATAAACCCTCCAAGGTAACACATTGCAATTCAATTCAAATTTATATTGTTCTTTTTCATAATCATTATAGCTTAAGCATTGAAATACCTTTGAAAATTATTATAACCATTTTTGTTTCTAAAGTGAAAATTTCTTCCAAACATTTTCTTGCATAATTATGTCTAAAATTGACTAATTATACCATAATTAGAATTCAAGACGCGATGTAATTTATTTCTCTTATTTTTATTTGCTTATTTCAAATACTCTTTTTTTTTATTTTTTTCAAATACGGAATCTGTTTATGCAATGGAATTCAAAGTTGGTATTGCATAAATAAGTCAAATAAACCAAAATTAATTAATTAATAGTTAATTAAAATATGTAAGTCAGACGATGAAGGGTAATTTCAGGAACCAAATCCGGCTAAATGATAACTTTAAAATTGACTAAATCATACTAGAATTAGTCTTTTCCTTCTTGTGAAATATTCAAGATTCGATTTAATTTATTTACATTTTCCAAATTTCAAAATATTGAACTTTCAATGATATTTCAATTGGGTCATTGTACTTTAATTTGTCTCAATAGTATCACTTAACTTCAATTTATAGTGTAAAGTTGGGTCACTATGATTTATTTTCAAATTTCACCAGTCCATCAATTGTTGCCTTCCAAATTGATTAAAATTGTTTAATTAATAGTCATACCACAATAAACTCTTCACATAATTGTTGTATGCTAGGTCAATTTACTATTACACTATGTCGTAAAAGAGCAAAAATAAAATTTAAAATTTAAATCTTATAATCTAAAGACATTATCATAATTCTGATTAACCAATAATTTTTTCCTCGGTTGATTTTTAAACTTACGAGGAATTATCTATTCCACTCGGCTCAACTGATATGCAAGCTAGGCGCAGCTAGTTGGTTGGCAAACCGAGCTCTGATTTGGCTTTCTAGAAAAAAAAGTGAGCTTGGATTCTAGAAAAAGTTGCAACCTGCAATTTTTGCAGTTTGTGGAGCCATTTCGGGGTTGTTGGAGAGGCCCATTGCAGGCTCAGTAAAATTCGAGCATGAGACATTTGACCCATTTGCCATGGTTAGTACCATATAGTGATTACAAAGAAGATTTATTATCGTAAGATTTTCGATTAAGTAGTTTTGTCAATTTAGAGGACGATAGATCTCCGAATGTTATATAGTAATAAAATAATTAGTGCATTGAAATGTCACTAAAAGTTCAGTGGTCACGAATTAAATTTAACCAAGATAAAAAATGAGATGATAATGGGCTAATTTAGGAACCAAATCCGACGAAGGCCGGCCACCAACCGATAAGGAAAAAGAGTAAGACGCGCAGCCTAATATGTCTGAATGAGTAAAAGACGGGGAACCTCGCGGGCCGGAAATGTGGGTCCCCCATTCCAACCTGTTTCGCATAGGACAATTCGGTCAATTTTTCTTCCCCCACCATGTGAATGTGAAAATATTCTTATTTTAATATTGTATAGTAATATTTAATATTAATTATTATATAAAACGTTCAACGGCCAATTTAACTATAAAAAAATATATATATATTTTTTCCCAACAGCTTACTCAGAGCATGTTTGCCTATTCTTAGATACTGGCGAAATATTTATTAACCACATTTACGTGTCATAACAAATATTTCCACCTTTATTTTCAAAGCTCGTCCAACCAAAATGTTCCTTACTCCCCGAGACTATCCTTGTGAAAGGATTGCAAACCCTCCATCATTTAGCTAATAGACAATTGAAAACCTCATCCAAACAATGACATTGAAGGTATTTCCTCAATCTCGAACGTAGATATCAATTTAAGTTCGAAAATCCTATCACAATCAAATCAATATGGGTTTTAGTACAATAAAATCATGAGCGCAATAAAGATTATTAACAAAGGCGCATGTATGAGCTAGATGCGAATGATAATGAAATGTGAGTGATCGATTATTTAATCAACAAAAAAAGCTTATCGCAACACAAAATTGACTAGTGATCGATGACTCTTTAAACTAGACAAAATCAAGTGCGGTAGCAACCTATTTGGTGGCGAACTAACCTATCTCAAGTCCCTCTGAACAACATCCAATTCTATACCTTTTTATCGATATGTTAGGGAGCTAAAGACTCTAGTAATTCTTGAATTATTATATAAAAAGATTCATGAATTTTATTTTGATGGATTAGAAAATACACTTTTCACTCACTAGACAAACATTCTCATTTTTAGCTTTTCCAGTAGTTTTTCTTTTTGGTTGGAATTAAAAACTGATTTTCCATTTTATGGTTAACCAAACGCGCTCTTTACACGCTCCAACCTTTTTCTCTTATAGTACATTCTCAAACAGGAGCCTCATTCAGTAACTTTCTCTCTCTAAAATCTAGAAAGAGAAACTATCGAACTTAAGGAATCAAACCCACTGACGGAAAATTTTCCGCAACAGGTTTTCATCCTCGTTCAGTATATCTATAATAAATTCATTCCTATAATCTGGAAGAATTTCTAGTAGATATTGTAATCGGGGATTAATCGGAAAATGTCTTCACCAACGCCGGGAGCTGCACCGGCTCCTGCTTCACCGCCGGCACCACCAACTAATTCTACATCACCGCCGCCTGCTCCCGCAGCATCAACGCCGCCTCCTACTCCAACAACTTCTCCACCACCTGCAAGCCCAACTCCTCCAGCCACCTCTCCACCACCAGCTTCATCCCCGCCGCCGCCGCCTTCCAGTACACCTGCTCCAGTTTCTCCACCAGCTCCTCCCGCCTCAACGCCGCCTCCGACTAACTCCCCCACCGTCCCAACACCACCTCCCCCTTCTAGGTCTCCACCCTCCCCCCCTTCGCCACCCACAGGTGGGAATTCTCCGCCGGCTCCACCCACTCGGAATCCTCCTCCTGCACCGGGTAGGAACACCCCCTCTCCTCCGGGTACATCAAGATCTCCGCCGTCGCCGCCATCACCGTCGTCTGACGGTGGTGGAATATCGACGGGGACGGTGGTTGGGATAGCCGTAGGGGGTGTTTTGATACTTGCAATTCTGAGTATTCTGTTTATATGTTGTAAGAAGAAGAAAAGAAGACCCCAAGGCCCCCCAGATTACTATGTTCCTCCACCACCAACTGGGCAGAAAGGTAAGAACATTTACATCAGTTCTTCAAGATTTTTCAATTTATTCAGAAAATTTTCAGAGATGATTTTGGAGCTGATTCATTTGCAAACATTTATAGAACTCAAACAATGAATTATTTCTCCGTTCGGAGATTGTAACCAATGACCTTGTAGTAAAATATTAATTGTTAAGTAATTATATTAATCTATCTAATGATAATTTAAGATAAGAAACCTGAATGTAAGTCCCAAGATGTTAAGATTGCAAGAATAATCGCTTTACGTTTAAGGATATTTGAAGTCTTGAATCATTGGATGTATGAATATTTTCATAATGTCGTCATAAAACTGTAGGGAGTTTAATTGCTGCTATTTCGTTAACCGGAGATTGCCTTTATGAAATTTAATTTTGGTAGCTCATTTTGGCTATATGTTGGTGTTCTCTAGTCGACCCCTATGGCGGACAAGGTCAGAATTGGCAGCATAATGCGCCGCCACCTGCAGATCATGTCATGACAATACCACCTAAACCTTCTCCACCACCTGCCGGTTTGTCAAGACCTCCTCACTCGCCCCTACGTGCTCCTTCATCTCAACCTCCCCCACCTCCTGCTCCTTTCATGAGCAGCAGCGGAGGTTCGGGTTCGAACTATTCTGGTGCTGAAACTCCACTTCCGCCGCCTTCTCCTGGCATGGCTTTAGGGTTTTCTAAGAGCACATTTTCGTATGAAGAATTAGCTATGGCAACAGATGGCTTCTCCGATGCCAACCTTCTTGGGCAAGGTGGTTTCGGTTATGTGCACCGAGGAGTCCTTCCAAACGGTAAAGAGGTTGCAGTTAAGCAGCTTAAATCTGGAAGTGGACAAGGGGAGCGTGAATTCCAAGCTGAAGTCGAGATCATCAGCCGAGTGCATCACAAACATCTTGTTTCTCTGGTTGGATATTGCATAACCGGGACCCACAGATTGCTTGTATACGAGTTTGTTCAAAATGATACCTTGGAATTCCATTTGCATGGTTAGTTTTTTCAAGAGTTCTTATTTTGTCATGAAGTTTTGTTGACGTCAAGAATGGAGTTTTTTCTTATCTCATTACTTTATGATTATATTTAAAGTCTGACTCAGTTTTACCATATATCAGGAAAGGGGAGACCTACAATGAATTGGCCCACACGGTTGAAGATTGCTCTCGGGGCTGCGAAGGGTCTGGCATACCTTCATGAAGATTGTAAGTAATCGTAAATGTATATTATTCGCATATTTAAAGCAATAGAGAAATGGGTGTTTATTTCTTATTTTCTTTTAAATTTACTGTGATTCTAAATTAGTATTTTCTACTTACAGGTCATCCAAAAATTATTCATCGGGATATCAAAGCATCTAATATTCTTTTGGATTTTAACTTTGAAGCAAAGGTGAAGTTCTTTATTTGCATAAGTTGCTTATGCAATAGAAATAGATAATCTTTTTGGTGTAATTATGGTCATTAATGAATGGCATTGCCGTTTTCTCAGGTCGCGGATTTTGGTCTCGCAAAGCTTTCTTCGGATGCAAATACTCATGTCTCCACAAGAGTGATGGGAACATTCGGGTATTAGATCTTTTACTCGTTCAACTATATATATATGGTTATTGTCAAAGTATCTAGTTTGGGTTTTGATTATCGTTTTAGTACATTTACATCGTCCTGTGCAGGTATTTGGCTCCGGAATATGCATCCTCTGGAAAACTTACTGAGAAGTCCGACGTATTCTCCTTTGGAGTCATGCTTCTCGAGTTGATTACTGGACGACGACCTATTGATTCAAATCAATCCTACATGGATGATAGTTTGGTAGATTGGGTGAGTAGACACTTGCACAATCATCTCTCTCTCTCACTCTGCCTATTCTTAGGCTGTTTTTTCTTATTCTTCTCTTCACGAGCATAAATAAGTTGTTTATTCTTGAAAAATAGAATATTAATAGAATGTATATGTACATGTACATAGGCACGGCCCTTGCTCACACGAGCGTTGGAAGATGGAAACTTCGATACCCTTGTTGATTCACGACTACAAAATGACTACAATCATAACGAACTTGCTAGCATGGTGGCATGTGCGGCTGCATGCGTTCGTCATTCAGCAAAGCGTAGGCCACGGATGAGCCAGGTAACGGCCCGACTTTAAATATTTGAAGAGCTTATATAAACCGGCGAATTTAAGCAGTCTTTTGTTACTTCTTAGACAGACTTTCAACACGAATCTAACCTAAGCTTGCTTGTTCTCCTTCATTTGTCTGAATCTATGTTCTAAAGTTGTCGATGTTTTACAAATTTGGGCAGGTGGTGAGAGCTTTAGAAGGTGATGTATCCCTGTCTGATCTTAACGAAGGAATTAAACCCGGACATAGTACGATGTATAGTTCTCATGGAAGTTCCGATTATGATACCACACAATACAACGAGGACATGAAAAAAATCCGCAAAATGGCTTTCGCCAGTAAGGATTATGCCAGCAGCGATCAGTACAGTAATCCAACCAGTGAGTACGGGTTAAATCCATCAGGCTCGAGCAGTGAAGGTCAACATACTAGAGATATGGAGATGGGACGGACTAAAAAGGACAGCCGAGGTTTCAGTGGCGGCTATTGAAGACAGATTCCTATTTCTCTGTATAAATCGAAACTGCGACTTTTTCTAACATCAACTGTAAGTTGCAACAATTGCTGAGGTTGGCATTTTTTTTCCTGAGGTAGTTGCATACAGAATATGTTGTTTTCTTTTCTCTATTTTTATTGTTAAAAATTATTTTTTCTTAGTGTACTTATTTAATTGTTACTTATATGATAATACAATTCAATTCTTTTATATGTTGTTTAAAATGTTTGTTTTGGTTGTTGACAGCTTATATTTTCCTGGTGCTAATCTGTATTTGTCTGTACTCTGACCTTTGTGACCTGTTAGGTAAATAAGTAGGTCGTATAGTACTCGACAATATTAATGACCTGTTTGGCAAGTCATTTATTTCTTGTAAAAGAGATTCATGGTTGTATTTTAGATCAGCTCCCTCAAAAAGTTCTTCTAATCAAATAAAGCACTTTTAGAAAATTACTCAAGCAAATTCGAAAACATCATCTTGTTTGAGAATCAATTTTTGACTTTTTAAATATTTGGTCAAATATATTGCTTCTAATATCATAATATTTATTTGTTTTTTGTTATACTTTATCCAAATAGGGAGAATGTGCATTTGGATATTGAAAATTTGAAAAAGAGAGTGGTTCCCATCATCAATCAGGCTTTTTCCACATGGAAAAAGTTGCTTGAGAAGATTTGTTTTTGGTGGAAAAAGAGAGGCATTTTTGCCAGCAAATCACATGATTGACGCACATGGATTCCTCCGTAATTAATGGTGGTTTGTCAGTCGAAACTAGTGACCACACCAAGTGCGACTTTGCAAAAGCCATTGATTGCTGGCAGGAAATAAGTTATGGCTTGTTTGGGACAGATTAGTCTGAAAGTACTTTTTAAAATCACTTTTTAGATTATCTATAATTTTTTTTTTTCCACTTTTCAATCAGACATGTTTTAATCAAAATTTACCTTTAAACTGAAATTTTAAATCTCAGCAGAGTATCAAAGCTCATAATGATCAAAGGGACCATTCGATAAGAGCAATTATCTTGCAAAATATGTTAATTGCTCACACCAATTATAAATAAAAATAAACTAGTATAAGGCTTAAACAACTTCACTTAAAAAGATTGTCGTTTTAAGCCAAAAATAATAATAATAATAATAATAATAATAATAATAATAATAATAAATCGTTAAATATTTAAGTCTTTTATTCAAATTTATTTTCAACAATAATATTTAAGGATCCGTTTGATAGGTCAAAATTTTCTAGAAAAAGTGGAAAATCAATTCCAACTTTGAATTTTAAGGGTGTTTGATACTATTTTTTTTCCATGGAATTACAATTTCCAATTTTTCTTGGGAATTGAAGTTTTTGGTGGGAATTGGTTTTCCCGGTTCATTGTAGCACCATTTATTTATTTATTATTATTATTTTATTTTTGCAGTGGAAACAAATTCTAAGATTTATTGTAAAAAAATATTTCCTTTTAATTGACAATTTTCATATAAAACAAAACCAAACGAATACTCAAAGATAGATGATTTTCTTGAATTTTTATTTTTTTGGGCAATGGAAACAAATTTCATTCCCAATACCAGTAGATTATTTCCCTTTAATTGACAATTTTCATGTAAAACAAAGTCAAACGGACATAAAAAAAACACTTTAATTTAAACATTTTTCACTTGGAAAATTATACCAATCAAACACAATAATTTATAATTCTCAGGAAAACAATTTCTCATCAATTCAATTCCCTGAAATTCGTTTTCTTTTCACCCAAATTCCACCTTTGCAATCAAATGGATCCTAAATGTGTTCAACCATAAAGAATTTGTCGGGTCGAGCCTGGGGTCTTTTGACTATTTCTTGTTTTCTCTTTTATTGAATGTCAAAATGTCATATTTATAGTAGGAAAAAATCCACGAGGACAAAGAATTGGTCCACGCAGTTCACTTAGCTACCGGGCCTGCATTGAATTTTGGATCATCTTTTCGAAACTATTGTAATATTTACAAGAGGAAATTACATAAAATTAGGAGTTAAACTTTCAAATTAAAAATTCAGATGTGACGTTTATTTAATCAAAAATTAGGTATTAATAGGATATTTTATTAATTAATTCAATTCCAAACCCAAATTCACTCCATTCTCTCCATTCTCTCTACCAGCACCAACTGCTGCTAAATCTGATTGCGACGAATGTTGGTTCCATGACTAGCGTCGAGTGCAGGGCGAGCATCGATGCCGCGACGAGTGCCTATGCCGTCACAATCGTCAATGCCGTGGCTGCTGAGCGTCGATCTGAGCGCTAAAGATGCAGCGTTGTCATGGCTGTGCATGCTGCAACATTGGTCGACGGCAGTGTAATAGATTCGCGACACGCAAAAAATAGTTCAGTGTGTAGAAGTATATTGGTGCAGTGTTTAGGTGTTTGTTGGTTTTTGCAATGGTAGTAGATGTGGTGGTGGTGTTGAGTTGTAGTCGTGGTGCGTTGGATTTCAACTTGAAGAAGTTGAAGAAGATGTCGAATGAGTCTGGGAGCCAGTTGAATGAGTCCAAACTGGCAAGTTTGAACGGGTGTGAGAGTGAATCGGTGAGTTTTATATCGAGAAACTTGCACATGTATGTTGAGAGGAAGCAAGTGGCGGTTGGGTGGCCTGCTTGGCTTATTGAGGTCGGTATTCGTTGGAGTTTGTGGTTGTGGTGCATTGATGGGGACTTGATGGTAGTGATGGTGATGCTAGTGGTGGGTGGTGGTGTCGACGATGAGATAGTGGTAGACAATTGTGTGGGGGTTTGGTGCAGTTGATCATTGTGTTTTGGTGATCATTTTTATTATTGTTGGCAGTGGTTGTGGTGGGGGCGAAGTGTAATAGTGACCGTGACCAACTATTTGGTTGCTCTGTGACCAAGTATTGGTGGTGATTTGGGATCGGGTGGAGTTTTTGATACATGTGACCAATGATTTGGTTTGTAACCTTTAAAATTCGATAATTTATGACTAAAAAAATAATTCGTCACCAATAAATTGGAAAATATGTGATCCATAAATGAACTATTACCTGTAATTTGAATGATATATGACCTTGAAATAATCTGTGACCTTCAGAATTTTTGATTTGTGACCACAAAATAATAGGTGACCAATTAATTTGATGATATGTAACTATTAACGTATAACTATGACTTTATTATCTTTATTTAATAAATATTTTTAATTAATTAAATATATACCTAAATTTTGAATTTTCAAATTGTCTAACTGATTTTTGAATTTGTGTAATTGTGTAAATAATATATCTGAATAATGTATTTTTCCCTATTTATAATTGGACAAAAAGTCATTTAGCCAGGCGAGTATAAAATTGAGTACTGCTATCCTTTTTTCCAAAAATATAACCTTCTTCATTATTTTATAAAGACAATATTAGAAACACTTTCAATTTTCTGATAATATCATAGATACCTTCTTACGTTTCAAAAATATTACCAGCATCTCCAATTTTTATCATTGAGTATCACCACCACCACTACTTTTATTCCAGATATCTATAAATCAAAAGGTTAAATTCACCAATGGTCATCCAACTTTATATTTAATATCACCATGGCCACTCAATTTAATTATGTTTCACCATGGTCATCGAACTTTATACTTATTATCACCATGACCACCTTATTTCATATAAGATTTCATCATGGTCATCCTACTTCTTTTCATCATTTTCACTAATTTTAAAAGGGATAAATGGTAACTTTGCATTATATATAAAATAAATAAATTTTAAAAAATAAAAATAAAAGATTTTTTATTTTAAAAACCTTTTTTAAAAAATAAGTTTTTGTTGCGAAAAAAAGAGAAAAGGAGAAGAGAGAATGAAAGTCAACAATTTTTTTTTTTTGGGTTTTATTAAGAACAAAAGCTTTATATTTATAGGCAAGAATCAGGGATACAATGGTAATAATTTATAGGGCTGCAGGGATAAAATTGTCTTCATTAAACCCTAATGAACTTAATATTTACAACACTCCTTCAACGACACATTATAAAATATATGTTTCGTTAAAATTTTGTTTGATAAAAATTCAATGGGACAAAAAATCAAACAAAAGAAAATGAATACAGTTATTTTGGAGTAATAAAAATAAATGCTACTTTATTAAAACTTTTTTAGGAAAATTCATTGGGATAAAACCTAAACGAAGGAAAAATAATACAACTACTCTCCCTGATGTTGATCACTATAAATTTCTAAGCCGACACATTCCAATTTTGTGAACCAATTTCTTGAATGTGGATGTCGATAATGCTTTTGTGAATAAATCGATCATATTGTCACTTGAGCGGATTTATCGGATATCGATATTACCATTCTTTTGAAACTCATGTGTATGAAAGAATTTGGAAGAAATATGCTTCTTCCTGTCACATTTAATATAACCTCCTTTTAATTGTGCAATATAAGCTACATTATTTTCATACAAATTTGTTGGACTATCTTCTGTTAAAATTAACCTGCATGATGCTTGGATATGGCAGGTCATTTTCCTCAACCATACACAGTCTTAGCCTACTTGATGGATTACAATACTTTAAAAATGATTTAAGGATGTTATTGTCAAAGATTGCTTCACAGATCTCTATGATATAGCTGTTCATCCACGTGTAAGCACATTTTCTATTTGCGATTTATCTTTTATGGGTCAGAGAGATAACTTGTATCTACATATCCCATTAAAACAGATCCCAACTTTTGAGAATAAAATTCTCTCAAATCAATAGTGCCCCTTAGGTAACAAAAAATATGTTTAACATCATTCCAATGCCTTTAAATTGATATAGAGCTATATCTAAGGAGATTTACAGAAAAATCTATATCGAATCAAGTGCAATTTGCAAGATAAGTTAATACTCCAATCGCACTAAGATGTGGTTATTCAGGACTAAGAACATTTTCTCTATTTTCAAGTGGACGAAATGAATCTTTTTCACATCAAATGATCAATGCCAATGGATGTGCATTATTCTTATAAAAGCATTTTAAGCCTTCTCTGTATATGTAAATAGATGAAAAAATAATCACTCTTGAAGATGTTCTATCTACAACCCGAGACATAACTAATTTTTTTCAAATCTTTCATCTCAAATTCATTTTTCAAATAATCTGCAATTTTGTTGAGCTCTTCAGGGGTTCCAATTAAATTTAAATCATTTCATAAACTG